CTGCCGTCGTCGAAGAACTCAGTCCGGCCGTGATCGACATCTTCTCTTCCACTGCGCGCAGAGCCGTAGTAACAACGCTCACCCAACACGGAGCCGCCATTACCGCCCGTGCTCGCGCCACTATTCAGTAGTAGGCTCCCCAGAAGACCCGGCAGTCGCGCTACCACTACTGAAGCTCAACACGCCAGATTGACCAGACGTGCCGCCCGTAGCCGTACTCAGCGAAATTGAGCCGCTCGTACTCCCCACGCTGCGGCCACTCAACACACTCACCGAGCCTCCCGTCCCACTCGTCGTGGACGTCGGAGCCGTCGTGTCGCCCGCCGTCAGCCAGAGAGCACCACCCGACAACGTGTCGCCACCCCCCACAGACAAAAGAGATCGACCCGCCGTGACCGCCCTGTTGATACCCCTGTGCTTCACAGGACACCCATTCCACTGTGGCCCACACGACTCGCACCCGCTCGTCAGACGCAGACTGCCACTCACAACCGCTTGTCACCGCAGCGTCCGGAGTCGTCAGCGAGATGTCACCGCTAGATGACTTCAGACCCGCGCCGCTCTGCAGCGAGATCGACCCGCCACTCGTCATGCCGCTGCCTCCACTCAGCGAAATGGATCCGCCCACAGTGCCAGTTGCTGTTCCCGTACCGGTGTGGGTGTCGCCAGATCGCAGCGAGATCGACCCACCAGCGCCGCTGCTGCCCGTGCCAACCTTCAAGAGCACAGACCCGCCGTTGCCACCCGTGCTGCCACCAGTGCTCACCGTCACGCCGCCCACCGTGCCTGCCGTCGCAGAACCCGTCGTCAGACTGATCAAACCCGACGGACCGCTAGAGCCACCATCCGAAGTGCGCACCAGCACGCTGCCACTCGTGAGGCTGCTGCTCGCGCCGCTAGTCACCTCCACGTCGCCTCCAGCACCACTGTTAGCAGTACCGGAAGTCCCGCCACTCGTACTACCAGCACTCAACAAAATCTTGCCGCCTGCTCCGATGCTGCCACCGCCAACAGATAGCTCGATGTTGCCTCCTCTGCCGCCAGTCGCTGCGCCTGTAGACAAACGAACCGATCCGCTTGAAGACAACCAAGACTCGCCACTCGCCAGAGACAGAGACCCGCTCGTACCAGACGAAGCACTCCACAAGGACACGCCGCCACTTGTCTTGCTCGTACTGGTCGTGCCAGATGCAGCGCCGCTACCCACACTGATAGACCCACCGGGTCAGCGCACCTTGGCCACTTACCAGCTCGATCAAGCCACCAAGTAGGACCCTGCCGTCGTCGAAGAACTCAGTCCGGCCGTGATCGACACCTGGCCGCCACTGCCCGCAGAGCCGTCTCCCACGTTCACCAACACGGAGCCGCCATTACCGCCCGTGCTCGCGCCACTATTCAGTAGTAGGCTCCCGGAAGACCCGGCAGTCGCGCTACCACTACTGAAGCTCAACACGCCAGATTGACCAGACGTGCCGCCCGTAGCCGTACTCAGCGAAATTGAGCCGCTCGTGCTTCCCACGCTGCGGCCACTCAACACACTCACCGAGCCTCCCGTCCCACTCGTCGTGGACGTCGGAGCCGTCGTGTCGCCCGCCGTCAGCCAGAGAGCACCACCCGACAACGTGTCGCCACCGCCCACAGACAATGAGATCGACCCGCCGTGACCGCCTGTTGATACCCCTGTGCTCACAGACACCAATCCACTGTCGCCCACACGACTCGCACCGCTCGTCAGACGCAGACTGCCACTCACACCGCTTGTCACCGCAGCGTCCGGAGTCGTCAGCGAGATGTCACCGCTAGATGACTTCAGACCCGCGCCGCTCTGCAGCGAGATCGACCCGCCACTCGTCATGCCGCTGCCTCCACTCAGCGAAATGGATCCGCCCACAGTGCCAGTTGCTGTTCCCGTACCGGTGTGGGTGTCGCCAGATCGCAGCGAGATCGACCCACCAGCGCCGCAGCTGCCCGTGCCAACCTTCAAGAGCACAGACCCGCCGTTGCCACCCGTGCTGCCACCAGTGCTCACCGTCACGCCGCCCACCGTGCCTGCCGTCGCAGAGCCCGTCGTCAGACTGATCAAACCCGACGGACCGCTAGAGCCACCATCCAAAGTGCGCACCAGCACGCTGCCACTCGTGAGGCTGCTGCTCGCGCCGCTAGTCACCTCCACGTCGCCTCCAGTACCACTGTTAGCAGTACCGGAAGTCCCCGCCCACTCGTACTACCAGCACTCAACAAATCTTGCCGCCTGCTCCGATGCTGCCAACCGCCGACAGATAGCTTCGGATGTTGTCCTCCTCTGCCGCCAAGTCGCTGCGCCTGGTAGACAAACGAACCGATCCGCTTGAAGACAACCAAGACTCGCCACTCGCCAGAGACAGAGACCCCCTCGGTACCCAGGATGAAAGCACTCCCACAAAGGACACGTTCGTCACTCGTTCTTTGCTTCGTACTGGTCGTGCCCAGGATGCAAGCGCCTGCTACCCACACTTGATAGATCCCACCGGTTCAGCGCCCCTTGGGTCACCTTCCCAGCTCGATCAAGCCACCAGTAGACCCCTGCCGTCGTCCAAGAACTCAGTCCGGCCGTGATCGACACCTGGCCGCCACTGCCGCAGAGCCGTCTCCCACGTTCACCAACACGGAGCCGCCATTACCGCCCCGTGCTCGCGCCACTATTTCAGTAGTAGGCTCCCGGAAGACCCCGGCAGTCGCGCTACCACTACTGAAGCTCAACACGCCAGATTGACCAGACGTGCCGCCCGTAGCCGTACTCAGCGAAATTGAGCCGCTCGTGCTTCCCACGCTGCGGCCACTCAACACACTCACCGAGCCTCCCGTCCCACTCGTCGTGGACGTCGGAGCCGTCGTGTCGCCCGCCGTCAGCCAGAGAGCACCACCCGACAACGTGTCGCCACCGCCCACAGACAATGAGATCGACCCGCCGTGACCGCCTGTTGATACCCCTGTGCTCACAGACACCAATCCACTGTCGCCCACACGACTCGCACCGCTCGTCAGACGCAGACTGCCACTCACACCGCTTGTCACCGCAGCGTCCGGAGTCGTCAGCGAGATGTCACCGCTAGATGACTTCAAACCCGCGCCGCTCTGCAGCGAGATCGACCCGCCACTCGTCATGCCGCTGCCTCCACTCAGCGAAATGGATCCGCCCACAGTGCCAGTTGCTGTTCCCGTACCGGTGTGGGTGTCGCCAGATCGCAGCGAGATCGACCCACCAGCGCCGCTGCTGCCCGTGCCAACCTTCAAGAGCACAGACCCGCCGTTGCCACCCGTGCTGCCACCAGTGCTCACCGTCACGCCGCCCACCGTGCCTGCCGTCGCAGAGCCCGTCGTCAGACTGATCAAACCCGACGGACCGCTAGAGCCACCATCCGGGGTGCGCACCAGCACGCTGCCACTCGTGAGGCTGCTGCTCGCGCCGCTAGTCACCTCCACGTCGCCTCCAGCACCACTGTTAGCAGTACCGGAAGTCCCGCCACTCGTACTACCAGCACTCAACAAAATCTTGCCGCCTGCTCCGATGCTGCCACCGCCAACAGATAGCTCGATGTTGCCTCCTCTGCCGCCAGTTGCCGGTCCCGTGAGAACATGAACAGCTCCGCTCGATGACGCTGCTGAAGCGCCGCTTGATAACCAAAGTGATCCGCTCGCACCTGAAGCCGAACTTAACAACGACACGTCGCCACTAGGCGTTGTGACACCCTCAGCTCCTCCGCTGGTCATGCTAATAGACCCGCCAGTAAACTCACCTTCACCACCGACCAGATCGATGGATCCTCCCGCAAGTGCATACGCCCCAACACTGCGACCTGCCGTGATAGACACTTTACCACCAGTGCCCACATAGCCTTCGCCCACGCTCACCAACACGGAGCCGCCATTGCCGCCCGTGCTCGCGCCACTATTCAGCAGTAGGTTCCCGGAAGACCCGGCAGTCGCGCTACCACTACTGAAGCTCAACACGCCAGATAGACCAGACGTGCCGCCCGTAGCCGTACTCAGCGAAATTGAGCCGCTCGTGCTTCCCACGCTGCGGCCACTCAACACACTCACCGAGCCTCCCGTCCCACTCGTCGTGGACGTCGGAGCCGTCGTGTCGCCCGCCGTCAGCCAGAGAGCACCACCCGACAACGTGTCGCCACCGCCCACAGACAATGAGATCGACCCGCCGTGACCGCCTGTTGATACCCCTGTGCTCACAGACACCAATCCACTGTCGCCCACACGACTCGCACCGCTCGTCAGACGCAGACTGCCACTCACACCGCTTGTCACCGCAGCGTCCGGAGTCGTCAGCGAGATGTCACCGCTAGATGACTTCAGACCCGCGCCGCTCTGCAGCGAGATCGACCCGCCACTCGTCATGCCGCTGCCTCCACTCAGCGAAATGGATCCGCCCACAGTGCC